GAGGAAGAGGATTGTGTCTGAGGCTGGTGCAAGGGTGACTTACAGATGCTGGCAATGGTCTGTCCCTTGACCTGAATGGTATTCACATGGATGTTCAGGTAATAAGTCATTAAACCCTCCATTTGTTAATGCTCTTTTCCATATTTGTACCATAGTTAACAATAGAACATGTTTTAAGAAGAGACATTATGACTAATTAGGATTTATCCTACAGCGATACAAAGATGGTAAATATTTTAAAAATATATTAATTTACTTCATTGATTGACTAAAGAATATATGATTTTCTTAAAACAGATGCAGACAAAATAAATGATAACGTTAATATCTACTCATTAAATAGAGCAAAAACAGCAACATCAAGAAGAGAAGGAAACTCTTTAACCTGATAAGAAGAATCTATTAAAACTCTACAGGAAAAAAATCATACTTAATAAAACGTTAGAAGCATTCCCTTTAACTTCAATAATGAGATAAATTTGTGTGTTATTATGGCTTTTATTTGCAGTAGAAGTGCTGGTCAGCACAGTAATACAAGGAAATAAAAGATGTAAGATTAGAAAGAAAGAAAAATGACTCGCTGACAATATGACTGGCTGCATAGAATATCTAAGAGTATCTACCATCTATTAGAAATAGTAAGAAAATTCAGTAAGATTGCCTGACCCAAGATCGAAAATTAAAGATTGGTAGCATTTCTATTCATGATCCATGTGTTTATGCATCAAAAATAAGCAGCTAACTTATACGTTCAATGCAATACCAATCACCATCCCACAGGAATTTTTAATGAACTTTTGACCAATAGATGCTAAAAATTCAGCCAGAGGGGCAAAAAGGAAAGAATACCAGTGACAATTTCAAAGAAATAGAGATAACTATTCTATCTGGTACTTGTCCCACCAGACATAGTTTTAATGTAAATACAGTGATCAAAAACAATGTGGTATTGGTGTAGAGACCAAAAAAAAATTGGATTAATGGAATAGAAAGCTTACAAATAGACCTACATATGAATGAGTGCTTGGGATACATGTTTTCAGGTAACACACTGCAAAACATTGAGAGAAAGAATGTACTATTCAATTAATCATGTTGGGAAACTCTCATTTATATGGAAAAAGATGAAATCAGAACCCACAGGCAGAAAAGAATTCCAGGATTAAGATATCTAAATGTAAAAGATTTAAATTATAACACTGTAAAACTTTTTTTTTTTAAATGTAGAAGAACATTTTTATAATCCCAGGAAAAGATAGGATTCCTTTGACAAGCTGCAAAAGACAAAATATCAAAAAAAAAAAAAA